TTTTGCTCTTGTATAGTAAGAAGAATAAGATATAATTACACACCAAACTGCTGCATAATTGTTTGATATAATGAAATTGCGGTATTAATATTACGAAAATATTTTCTACCAGTAATGTTGGCAGTAATAGAATGACTGCAAAGAAAATCCAGTGCCGTCTCTGGCCGTGGTAGCCATACGACACATGTGTGTTCCATGTTCATGAATGCATATAATTTCGTCCACAGCATGAAGTAATAACTTTAAAGAAATGGTTTCTAATAAAAATATGATTAGTATATCATAGAATATGTAGGAGAAAGTTTCTAGGAAACAAAATTTTTTAGATCTTTAAGGAACCCTTTTCTAATACGTCAATGTTCTAAAATGAAGTGCCGTAGCACATTTTACTGCGCCCGTTAAAGTAGTGCGTGTACAAATTTATGAAATCAAATATATGATCACTTTATTTACAGATGCGAATTAATAATAAAACTTAAACATTTATTTCACAAACATTTATTGCATCATCCGAAGATATTATTGTCCATTTGATTCGATATTAATTTCCACAGTACAATCTACCTTCAGGTAGTGCAATATTTCGGAATGATCCTGTATATAAATTCCTCGTATAATAATCTCAAAGAGTATCGATTGCTTTAGCATGCAATCATTGACGATTCAATTAATGAAAATCGACAGTATCGTTTTAATCGTAATGAAGACTAAGAAGAAAAATCAATTCGTCTAGACGCGTTCCATTCGTTCAATCGTATCCATGGTGAAACCCATAACCAGACACAATTCGTCTTCCTTCAGAGTTTAAGGAGTTCTCATGAGCGCGATAGAACCTCTATATAGCCTACTACAGAGAATAGCAGCACTTTGGTCGCAAGCGCCGAAAGCTCCGGGTATTGATCGGGCTTATGCCATTTCGCGTCAAGTTCAAGCGCAAAGTAACTCGGCAAAAGTCACAGTGGACTTTGTGCTCGTCCCAGACCTTGAACGTAATACTTTTTTTGTTGTTGTTGTTCCTTTCAATTAAATCCGATTTTCAACGAGGCGACCGATTCTTTTTTTCCTCTCACTTCGACACGCCTCGACAGTTATCGATCCCATCGTGATAACGGTCGATGCCGGGATCGGCCTTGTCCGATAAGCAAGGCCGCTATCGTACTACGACACAAATGTTTCTAGCATTGCGTACACGCCTTTATCGAGCAGCACGGTATAAGTAACTATGGCAAATCCGACATTGAATTGATATTAACGACCAACCCGATCTGTCTCGGCTTATGTTATTTGTTAAAATATTTTTTTTTCATTTATCATACATACTTCTGTCGCGGCTATTCGAAGAATTTGTATCGCGCACGATATTATAGCGCGATATGAATTTTCTCTATCGAGCCGCTTGTAGCTGCCTTGTAAATTCTCGCGGTTTCTCAAAATACTCGCGATGACTAACGCTATACGGTATTAATGTGAAATAGCGTGTGACTCAATAGTATTTCACTTGAGTCGATAAGAAAGACATTCTATATGGATTTTCACGTAGATATCTAGAATCCATTAGCATTGTGCAGCAGGTGTTATTTTTTGAAGTCTTGAACCAATTCTCGAATACTTTAATAAAATATCTCGCAACACGTGACTGTCGCGTGACTGATTGATTTGCTTGGCGATATCGAGTCGAAATGTCCGTAGATAAATACGACAGTTCGCCTCGAGACGGTATTTGACTTTTGACAATGTAAATTAATCAGACGCGAGCTGGAAGTTCGTCGATAGTGAATTACCGGTGTCATTGATCATTCGTATGATCCGTTTAACGCGATTGTAATCCATCAGGTAATTCCTTTTCTCTAATTGCCAGCCGATCGAATCCGTTCCAATCGATTGGACTTCTCACCGTCACGTGACTTCGCGAACGCGCAAACGTTTGTCTGTAAAGTGACGTGAAATTCTTTGAAAACTTGCCCGTAAGAGGGCAACTGATCGTTACGACTGTCAAAGTAATAGCTCGGTGACGCAAGGGATACGACGCGCCATCTTATCGTTTCGAAATATTGACAAGCCTACATTTTCTATGATCTTCGTGTATGTAGATACCAGAGCAGTCGTTTCCTACGATAAAAG